TTCGTAGATCTCATGTGTAGGTGAGGTCTATGGGCGGCTGCGGTAGCCGGTATCGGGGTAGGAAGGACCGATGGTGCCAGAGGAGATGGGATAGGGAAATTAGGAACAAGGGAAGAGGAAAGGATGCGGGGATGGAGGGATGCATGTGCTCTAGTTGATAGTGATGTTTGAGAAATAGAAAAACGAATGAGAAAGAGATTGAGGTGCAACTGAATTTGATACGACCTGGCCCTGTGTGAGAGCTGATGTGGAGTTGTAATGCTTCTGTTGCTGTGAGACGCGCCGCGGAGTCGTTGGCGTTGCCCCGGGAAGTAACACTAGCGACCCGGAAGTGCTGGGGAGCTCGCCGTTGGAGAGTGTGCGTGTCCTTGTACAGTTGGAAAAGTTTCGCTTTATTGTCGGAATGCTGGAAGGAGATGTTTCTCCGGTTGAGTTCTTTCTGGAACCGGACGACTGTCCATTCAGAGATGTTTCGAGCGGAGGGACGCAGGGTTGCCGGGGTGCAGGCTTGGAGGTCGCTCGGGCGCCGGGACCTTGAGCGGGCCGGCAGACGGCACTTTCGTGCTCAGGCCCTAATAATTAGATCCCATTTGAACAGGGCTGGCCCGTGGCATAGGCGGTTACCTAGGGCGCAAAATGTCAGAGGGCGCCGCAAGAGAAGGTTTTCGACGTTCTGCAATTGAACTCAGCCCAGCTGCTGTGACACCGGTGTACGCCGTGATAGTAATTAAGAGCACCTCGAGTCCAGACAGTTGTGACGAGTCAAGTCGTTGTGTAGAGTTTCGCAATTTAAACATCTAAAATCTGAGGTGCAGCCTTGCTCTGTTTGGGACTGTGAGGTGCTGTTAAGTTATCGTGTGTGTGGATTTGTGGTGAGTGTTCCAGTTGGTTTCAGTTTCATGTGCAACATGTAGTCTGTGCACTGTGTCTGTCAAACAATGTAAAGGGGATAATTCCAGCGGAGCAATAAACAGAGGGTAGACGATCTTATGAATTCTCATCAAATGATGATGTTAGTCTCTTAATATTATGTCTTTTTTTTTTCGACATGTCAGAGAGCACACAGCACAGAGATTCTGAATGTGCAGAAAGTTTTGAACATAAGCAGAAAACCTGCTAAAACAGGATTTCTTAAAGTCCGGGAGTTTTTAACTTAAAAATTAACTTATTTGAGGTGAAAAGGTGCCACATGCACATCCCCATGCAAAAGACACAAAAGAGGGAAGACTGAATCATGCCTGCATGTGTGCTGACTCAGCGGGGAATTTGTTAAATTAGAAAAGTTTATCTACAGGAGAAATATTGGATATTTAAAAGCAATAGCTACAGAATGTCAGAAAGCCTCACTGCATTATATTCTATACATTTTTTATATTTTGAATTGTCACCTGCTGCCTGACTCAACATAGCCTGCATTTGAACACAAAACATGACTGAGGAGATTGTAAAGGAGGCAGGCATGGAGCAACAATACAAACTGATCAGGCAGCATCTGATGAAACTAGCAACACTTGTGAGACTTCAGTTTTCACCTGGAAGGTTGGTATTACATATAAAAGTGAATTCAGAAATGTGCACCTAGCTAATTCTCATCCCACTACAAGCAACATCCTAATGGTAAACACATTAACAGATTAACAGAAGAACAAAAACGATTCAGACATTCTCTTTTTGGTGCTGGTGGACATTGATTCTATATATGTTCACAGATCGTGCTGGACAAAACCCAGATCTGGGATTTGGTGTGAGGGCACAAATGCCTTGACTGACACTCTCGGAATTTCAGAATGGGCAGGGACATTTTGCTCTAATTCTGCCAGCAGTTGAGACCTTTCCATCAGTGGCATAGAACTTACTAGTTACACGGCCCCGTGCGGTCGGCGTCCATCTTCTTAGAGGGACAAGTGGCGTTCAGCCACACGAGATTGAGCAATAACAGGTCTGTGATGCCCTTAGATGTCCGGGGCTGCACGCGCGCCACACTGAGTGGATCAAGGATAAGGATACTTTTGACAGTGAAGCATTGCGTTGCTGTTAAGTTATGGAGGATCTCCACTAACATAGAATACTGTTCCATCTCACACCTCTTTGGTAAAAGCCTCTCCACTGCCTGTATGATAACCTAGGGTGGGATGATATGACCTAAAATCAAAATCACGATTATTTGAACACTTTACCTGGATTACGATTACACTTATTTTGTTTGTTTTTTTGCAGTGTTTTTTTCCTCATAGTTCATTGACAAGGTTTGTACTGTAAATATGCTCAAACTATTTCTTCCCACTCCTGTTTGAATAATTGCCTTGGCTGTAATTTGTTTATTATTGACTTATTTATTATGTCGTTTTTTGTTTCAATTATTTCATGTCTGATGTTTCTTTTTACGCATATTCAAAATAAACACTTTAAATAAAATAAATAAAATTAATTCACCGATGTCAATAATCTAAATATTATTTGATAACATAGTGTTGACCAGCACATAGTGTGTTCCCCTATTCAGCGCATCTAAAATTTCACACTATTACTAATATCAGTGCAAAATTAATCATTTCCATTGGAACACATTGCAAGCACGGCAACACTCAACACTTCCCCTCATCATTCCTAAAAATGTCATCTATGTGAGGTGCTGTTATAAGAGCAGCAGTTAGGTCTTGAAGGTTAGCGACTGAAATAGAATGAGTGGCAGAAAGTTATGGTAAAAGCGAGCGAGTAAGTTTTTTAGTCTGGCAGTCAATGTACAATTTACGTCACAGTGTGTCTGTTAATAAAAGTCTGTATGTTGCTTCCTCTGTTGCAGGAAAGTGAAGGTGGTTATGGGTGGGATGGGACAGGGTCAAGCTATACAAATGGTAGTATGTTTTTAAGGTGAAAGTACATGAACACCACGATAAAGACAAACAGTGGGGAACAGGATTAAAAAACCGAAATAACCAACTAATTCAATTAATTGTCCAGCCTATGATAACCCAAGAAACGTCTCCACCATTGTTTGTGTGCACAAGTCACCTGATGAGGTATGAGTATGGTTCATTTCCTTCACATACACGCAAAGAAGGGCTGAAAGGCTAAAAGGGACCAAGAGTGAAAACACACTAAGATCTCTTCCTTGAAAGTCGATAAAAAGATGGGTCCATTAGCAATGTAACTTTTTAATTCTTGCTAAAATCACAGATCACACAGTCCTCATTGTTGGTCTGCTTCACTTACACATCCCAAATGAACCACACTGAGACCTGCTTTTTCAGACAATCTCCTTCCAGTTGTTGGTTCTGCGGAGTTCATGTAACAGCTACAAACGCACCAGAGAACAACTGTCACTTGTTTCATCTGACATGATTGCAACGAGTAAAATAATTTATCTAGGAGTAGCTGCGGTGCACAACAACAACCAGCAGGTGGCACATTTGAGCAGTCCAGATCCAGTTTCTCTACTGTAGGGTAGTCATGCTTGGCAAGCACTGATGCCATGTAACTTTTTGGGAATGAGCACTCTGTTAAATGTTCTGTCGGGCCTGTACAGTACACTTACACACTCTTAATTTCATAATGGACATTTGTGTTCATCCATCCATCAACACGGTTAAGACTTAACTATCAGACACAGTTTTAATAATCAATAATATGAATAATCTTCATTGTCAGGTTAATCTCAGATGCTATGCTATGAAGTCTATGTGTAGTTTTTGAAAGTTTATAGTCAGCAATGTTTTATTTGACTCAGTAGTAGTAACATTTCCTTAATATGAATGGTCTGAAAAGGTTTTCTGGACATTTAGGTTGAACTATTTGGTGTTCTTTGTCAAGGTGTTTTAAAGCACAGGATTTACAGTAGTACTACAATAAGGTTTTTAAATATGGATAAGTTTGTGTGGAGTGAATTCATTCTGATCCAATAAAGTGCTGATAAAACATTTGATTCAAAGATCTCCAGAAATAAAGTTTCAGTGTGGATGCATCATTCAGCATACTGGTGAATTTTACAAAATTTTCAGAAGATAAACAAAAGACACTTTGCCACCTCGGTTTTTAAGAATGAAGATGTTGTTCAGTTGAGAGTTGCTATTCTGTCTGGTTCGTGGAATAATGCATTGTCTGGTAAAAGAGCAATGAGAAAGACAAAGTCAAGTGACTTCCTGTTCTGTCCAGTCTATGAAAACAGTCGCAGTTCACAACATGCAGTGCATGAATTAAAATATAATTTTTGTTAACATGTGTGACATGAGTTTGATATCTGTATCTGTAATCAGTCCAAACATGAATCTTTGAAACTTGTAGTAGAAATATTTACTATTTAATGCTATCTCTCCCCTTTTGCATAGGTGGGTTAACGGTTAGGTTGAATAGCTAAATTAAAATTTCACTCCCCCCTGTGCCGTGTGTGGCCATGGGCCAGGCCACATCTTCTGTCTGGTCGATGGCCCTCCTGCTGCTGTCTGGTTAAAGTAGGAAGCTAAAAGCTGAAACATCTCTCCAAAACATCACTGAATGTTACTGACACAACTAACCAAGGCAGACAATAGGTAGACTCAAGACATTAATTGGGCATACATTACACAGCCATGTAGCTAGCCATATGATTGGTTTCTGTACTTGTTAAAGGGTAACTTTGGTATCTTTCAGTCCGCTGCAGTCGACAGCAGCAAAACAGGACTGTAATATAATCCTTGAGGGCAATTGTGTCCTGTCAAAGTACATCCACTAAAGTGCTTTTGCCACTGAGAGACTCAGAATGTTATTACCAGTGTCTGACAACATTGGGACGGACCTAAGGAAGGATCTTTACTGAGATACACCTAGAGTAAGATCCTTTTGTTAAACCAGTAACTGTATCCACTATATCACTCTGAAAAGAAAAACTCATCATCGTCGAGAAACTTCATGAGATAACGTTCCCAAGAAAAATGAATATTTACCAGGCTGTTGTTAGTTTCCATGCATTTATATTAACATATCCAGGTCTCAGGGAGGCTGCATGTATGTCGAGTGTGCATTACCTGCTCTCCATGTCCAGACAGCGCCGATTGGCCATGAGAATCTCCTCTTCTTCCTTTTGGATTCGAGCCTCAACCGATGTGTCATAGCTGCTGCTGGGAGAATGGCTGATCACTGCTACAGATGTATCCCTGCCAGTCGTAGGTGGAGAGCAGCACAGAGATCGGAAAACATTTAGTTCGAGTATTTTAGATTTTTTTTTTTTTGTATATTTCAGGATTTTCTTGTGGTCAATTGGCATGGGAAGCTATTGGCCTGTATTGTGGAGATATGTCGTCACTTCCTTTGTATGAGTACGTAAGATAACAATTACGTATGAGTATGTAAGATTTTCCTATGTTACATTTTTTGGAGTTCCAAAATTATTTTAATAACTTTTGATCATGAGAGACAGATCCACAGATTCTATGTGCAAGGTTTTGTGCAGATCTGATTCTCAGCCTATGAGGAGTCGGAAAAAGTAGGTTTTGCATATTTCATGATTTTGCAACAAATCTGACTTGCATGTGAGACTCCCAGCCCGTTCGAGTTTGAAGCTGGAGATACTTGCAAGTACAATTTATGCTGCTGAATGCTGAAACAGCTGAAACAGACACTGAGGAGACCATTTCAAACTGGCAGTACCCACCATAGCAGGGTGGTATAGTGAGTGTAAAAAAATGCCATGAGCTGTATTACCTCTAATGACCATTAGACGTTAGGTACTTTGTTTTTAGGAAAACACATTTTAGCTTGACTGACACTGTTGCTGCTATTCTGGCTGCCGTTTGCTGGACCTCATTCAAGATCCATTCCATTGCTCAAACAAAAGAATCTTTGTTCAGCAACCAGAACATCAACTGAAAAATTTTGAATGTGCCTGAAGTACTGCCCTTTCCTGTCTTTCTGCAATCTGACTTTTAAAGTTCAAACAAATAATTCAACACATGTACCTTAAAACATGTAAAATGAAGCTTCACAAAGTTCAAACAGGAACTATTTCATGTCGCCCTTCTTCCTGCACCTCTCACTCTCTTTTTGCGCTTCCAATAAATCAGCTGGCTTGTTTTAATCACTTTTTAAGCCTCTTATATCTAAAGGAAAAAACTCAAAATTAAAAATCCAATTCTAATCACTTATTGTTTAATGACATCAGTTGTGAGGTATTCTGTTCTACTCAGTAGTAATTCTAATTGCTAACAACTAGTAGTGTATACTTTCAAAACCCTGCTCCTAGCTCAAAGACTGTAAATCCAGTAAAGATCCAAATAAAGATATCATCTGAACCAAATGAGTCCGCAGCACGCACTGATGTAACTTTCATGTTTGTGGTGTTAAAAATATAGAGAGTTAAAAATGTAATGAATCCCACTTGTTGTTGGCCTGTTTAAACTTTAAATTTTGTTTTTGTTGTGTCATTTTATGTATGGCGAAGCAGTGTGGCCAAAGAGGGTTGGGTATGAGCTCTCTTCATGACGACTGGGCTGATCTCTGAGAAAAGTCATGGCACGCTGATCCTGATTGATCCGAGCAATTTAATGTATTTTTTGCGTATGTGCTGGCCATGGTATGGGACTAGCAGCTGGACAAAAATCCAGCCAGAAGATGAGGAATAACTAGAAAATTGCTTTTCCTGCAGAAAATGAATGCTGACAACTGAAATAAATCGCAAGGTATTGCTGAAGATCCAGAAATCTGCAACGAACTCACCAAACCTGAAATCTCAAATGTATTGCAATACACTGTTCAAAAATTGGGAGTTGGAAAAGTTGAAAAATTTAATACAAAGAGCATAACATTTAACGTTTTCTTTTTTTAAGTTTGGAATGTGAATTGTCTAGAAATATGCATTTGTTGTAAAAAGCCACACCCACTTCATCAATCATTCATTACCAAATTATATGCATCAACTCGGTCATCAAAGTGGGGTGTTTCAAACGAATTTCATACGGCTCTGTGTACTTGGCAGCCAACAGATTTTCGTTTTGAAACGAAGAAAACAACAACGAAAAACGGCTCATTTCCCAATTACCATTAGTAAATAGGTAAACAAAAAACGTTATATATACACAGTATATATATAGACCTAACTATAAAATATTTAAAAAATATTTACACTGAACTCACTGTCATGTTCAAGAAACCAGTTTTGATGATTGATGATTTGAGCTTTGTGACATCGTGCATTGTCCTGCTTGAAGCATTTTTTTTTACTTTTTATTCATATTTTATCTATACAGGGGGAAAAAACACTGAGACCGAGGTCTCATTTACAGATGTGCCCCATATTACAAGTGCAAAAACAAAAGAGGCACACTTAAACTACGCTAAGCATATATTTACAATAAAATAAAACACACAAAAAAAAAACGAATTGTAAATTGGTAAGTTTGAAAGAATCATCACTTATGTTTCCAGATCTTGAAAACACTATATACTTTTACGTTTTATTTTAATTTAAACTGAGTGAAGATCTAAAAGAAATTCTGCAAAACCTGAAAATCGAGTTCAAAAGTGCTTGTGCTAGAGAGGGAACTGCCGTGCACAACACTGTGTCATCAGCATAAAAGTGAGCTGTTAACACTTACTCAGAAGCCTAAAAATATCATTTATATATAGTAAACAATTAAGGACCCAGGATTGAACCCTGGGGAACTCCTTTATGTAAAGGCCAAAAGGTTTGATTCACATCCATCTGAGATAACTGCTTGAGCCCTATCAAGATAGTTTTGAAACCCCAAACAAGTATTCCTCTTCATAACCAATGATGAGGTCAATAAATAAAGCAACACAACTTAGTTTAGCATACAAGGCCTTAACAAAATCATCTACAACCAGCGTGGCCAAGGTAATCGTACTGTGGCCTGGTATTTGTTCATTACGTCATTTTCAGTTAAAAAAGAATGAAGCTGTGTATTTACTAGAGACTCCAGAATTTTAGCCAGGCAAGACAGCTCTGATATAGTTTGATAATTATCAAGCACTCTAGTGTCTCCTTCTTTGTGAAGCAGGAGCACATACGCAGTTTTCCAAATCATTGGAATTACTTCAGTTGACAGAGTTAGATTAAAAATATGCGTTAGTGCCCTTGAAATAAAGGGTGCTGCCCTGACCAGCAGGCATGGATCCAATTGTCCGGACCAGTTGATTTCCTAGCATTTATAGTAAGTAAGGTATCTAGGACTTAATCTTCATCAAATGTTTTTATTGTAAAATCTTGACTATCGTGTTTTTCTTGTAAGTATCCGGCTATCATCTTAGTAGTAGTAGTGATAATTTATCAAAACAATACTATAGAGACAGTGAGACAGCTTCACACAACATGCTGGAAACTCAGGTTTACTATTACTATCTGCTTATCTTTCACTGGAGGCTCAGCAATGTGAGCACAGCTAAATGTATTGGATCGACCAACGGTTGGTGAGCTGGACTGAATATTGTAATACAGAATATTATAATGAGATTGTTGTCACAGTTTATAACAGTTAGACGGCAGTATGTAACGTTACTGTAAGGTTAGTCGCTTTGACATAATATCGGTGGTACACATGATAGTAACATGGGTTGCATTAGTTGGTGAAGTAATGTGGAAAGCAATGCAACTTTGCACCGGATAATATTAGCAACTGCTCAGCGTTAGCCGGCAAGCTAATGTGACTCTCTCCGTGTTTCTCCAGCCTTTCTGATTCGGTTGTTTTATGGTGTTAGTGTAATGCATTTCATTAGCTGCAGTGTTGTCACTGTAGTGTGTCGTTTCTAGCCTTGGCCCAAGCCACATCTCTGTTATAAATAGCATCAGAAATATCATTATTAAACCATGGATTTGATCTACACTGCACCCAAACCTTTTTAAAAGGGGCATGCATATCAGCAACAGAATTAAAAACTTTAATAAAATGCTCTGAGTTTGAAAGCTCACCAATGCAATCCAAGTCACTGTCTTCAAGATCTTTAAAAAAGTTTGTTCATTAAAATGTTTCTTTTAATGATAATAAGTGGTTGGCCCTTCTGAATTCTAACATCTCTACATGCAATAGAAAAATGGTCACTAATATATAAAGGAAAGACACCTCTAGCACAATATCTGTCAGGTGCATTTGTTAAAATATAATCAATCAGAGTAGACTTTGAGGGCACCTTTACATTGGACCTAGTAGACTCTGTGATGAGCTGTGTAAGAAAAAGTAGTATTTAATATAATCTGACTTCTTTGTATAATTCACTAAGCCAACACCTTTACTCAACCATCTGCTCTTTATACATTGTATCCATCCAGCACTATGCCTATATTATGAATAATTCATTGATTAGCATCTATCATTCTTGGTTAACCCTGTTTTACTTAAAATCAAAACTTCTATGTTTAACTGGGAAACCAAAATCTTAATAAAATCCATTTTAGGCATTATGCATTAGTGCAAAAGCTCCGCTCGTTACGATTTCTAAAAACACTAAAAATCACTGGTTACAGGTTTAAGAATACAATTAAGATATTGTGTACTGATTGTAATTAAATTACCCCACAAGGCTTCAGATCACATTTTGTCACCATCTGACTCAGTCTTTTACCCCTAAAATCCACTGACTCTGCGCCGCGGTTGCTGGAGCTAACTGCGGCCATTATGGTGCTCGTGAGTCTACCAGATGCGACCCGGAAGCAGCTCTCCGCTCCACAGAGAATAGGTAGCAGGTCTATTTTTGCCGCTAGCAGCGTCAAGCAACACAGAGCAGATTGAACCAGGCAGGAAGTCAGACACAGAACGGCAAAGAGAATACGGTCAATTTTCAATATAAAACACCCTGTGGAGACTCCCGATCGTAAAACAACAGTAAACATGGTAAAAAAGCACACAAAAAGAAATCATTTAACTACGTAGCCTACTTAATCACAGTAGAAGCACAAAATGCAAACACTGATTACCAAATCAACAAAATCTAAACCTGTCAGCAAAATTAGGTAGGCAAAATGCTCTGATTCTAAAATTCTCCTTGTGGGAAATGCAGCCTGAAGTTGACGGAACGAAACAATGTCACAGAGAGCTGTGATGGTAGCAGAAGCACAAAATGGACAAATTAATGACAAGTCAATAACGTGGGGCAGGCTGCACACTCCACTGCTGAAACGCTTCTGAGACACTTCCAGTGGACTTTGAAAACTATGGACGGATCAAAACTGTGGCACAGTCGTAACCTGCCAGAGTCAGTGGATTCCTGGTGTTAGATATGGAAAGGAATAACAAACATCTTGTTACTAAAATTCTTTTGCTCACGCCGTCAAGCATTTAAGGCTCTACACGAATTCAGGGAAAATGTCACGTTTGACGAGAGAATACTGGCACCATACCTGTTAGGGTGCAATCCATCTTGAAGAAAGATTTGGTCGGTCAAAAAAGGCTGCGAAGTTATCCACATAAGGGATTCCATTTGCCCAGGTGAAACCCTTGTGCCAGACATGTAGTTGACGAATACCATTAAAAGTAATATTGGTGAAACAGGGTGATGGAAATGGGCGGGAGATGATACACTGCTTACCGGAATCCAGCATAGTGTCTGTTAATTTTTTTAAAGTCCTCGTACAGTTTTTCCAACTGACGGAGCCTAATGTCATTAGATCCAACAGTTTCAGCGTTTGAGTGCTTGCTAATGAGCTGCGTCCAAAATCCTAGCACCTGGATAGCAGTAGGTCTCAGCCTTACACACAGCGACATTTCGGACCATTGAAGACAATAAACTTATTGGTTTGTTGTTGGGACTGTGTTGTTGTCTTGCGTCCTCTGTGTACTGTTTATACTGTTTGTTTTTTTAATCCCAGTACCCTTTTCCACAGGAGGACTTTGGCTCCTGCCAAACTGTTCTTAATTAACTTTCCTGGTAAAATAAAAGTATAATAAAAATAATAAAAAGTGTTTACCGAGGTAATAAATTATGTGAGAAATAGGCACATTTTCGCATAGAGTTCTATACAATCTGAATTCTTTTTGCAAGTAGAGTTGCCCCCTGCTGGCCATAGAATGCAGGTTTAGTTCTAGTGAACACACTGTGTGAAATCTGTGTGTGTAAAAATGTGCGAGCTGCAACAAGTTAGAAAACTGGCAATGTATGCAGAAATGTCTGCTCTCAGTTTGTACAGGAGTCAGTGGCCAATGTTTAGAACTGCTGTCATTTTCAGGCTCACCTGCCTAAATGTGTAAGTTTGTTTGATTCCAAAACTACATGGCTGACAGCTGTATTTACTGTACATGTTAAGATCACTCTATCAGGAGTATGAATGCCTCATAATCCTGAGAAATTTTAATAGCACACCCACTGCTGCAATGTGATTTTTGTTTATGAACTTGTTTTAGACATCAGTGTCTGAAACAGAGAATGCATCATCAATAACTTTTGTGCACATGTACCTCTGAGTGGCAACAGAGGCGGCGGCATCCAGGGCAAACTGCCTCATTACGCTCTCCTCCAAGTACTTCTGCTCCCATTTGGTCATGTCGGCCTCCAGAGCCAGGATCCGCTCTTCCTTCTCCCTCAGATGCTCCATCAGTGCTGTGGCGTTGTACTCTGATGGGACTGCACCACTGCTTTGGGAGAATCCTTGACGCTGGGCAAGAAAACAGAGACAAGAAGAGGGGAGGCAAAAACAATAAAGGAGACATAACATAGGAAGAGGATTTATAGACCCAATAATGTAATAATTTCCTGATACGGTCATATAATCTTCTTATATCCTCTTAACTCCATCAAAAATGTAATAAAACCTGATAACATAATAACTTCCCAATAATGTAATGAAATGTCTTAACCAATAATGTAATTATTTCTGTACCAATAATGTAATAAATTGTTACATTAACGAGAGGTTATTACATTTTTGGGTTTACCTTATTTTTGCAGAATCTGATAATTTAATCATTTCCCAATATTGTAATAACTTGACCAATGTTGTAATAACATGCCACCAAACATTTTGTGAATGCATTGTTTTTGTAAGTTGGTCATTATTTAATAGACAACGCAATAATCATGTATAATAACATTGTACTTTTTATCATTATTAAATGTGGATATTACACATTGCTGCACTGCCATTGGTCTATGGTCGATGAAAATAGAGCCAAAGAGCTAAATAGTCTTTTTCATCTAGTCCTGTATTTCCATATGATACTACATGTCTTAATATATGTCCTTAGTTAAGCAGAGTGTAGGCAAAACAAAACAAAACATACAACACACACAAAAATACCTGAAATGTGAAAATGCTACTATAAAAATCTTGTACTTACAGAGGTCATATTATGCTTTTAGGCTTTTTCCCTCTCCTTTTTTGAGTTATATATGTTTTTGTGCTTGTAATAGGTTTGCAAAGTGAAAAACCCCAAAGTCCACCCCAAAGTGCGGGTCATAATGCTCACCAAACGGCTAGTCCGACACGCCCTCAGCTGAACTGAGGGCAGGTCGGACAAATAGTCGTAAAAGTGATCATATCACCCCAATTCTGCGGTCTCTTCATTGGTTGCCCGTTAATTTCAGAACTGAGTTTAAAATCCTGTTATTTGTCTACAAAGCTTTATGCAACCAAGCACCTAGCTACCTAACTGAACTGCTACAACCGTATACTCCATCGAGAAGTCTCAGATCAGGCGAACAAAATCTGTTACAAGTCCCTCACTGCAGACTTAAACGCAGAGGGGATCGAGCTTTTTCTGTGGTTGGGCCTCGGCTGTGGAACAATTTGCCCTTAGACGTTAGGATAGCCCCTTCTGTGATCTCTTTTAAGTCACTTTTAAAAACGCACTTGTTTTCTTTGGCCTATAATTAAGGTTGTTTATGTATGAGTATCTTTGTATATACATATACCTATATGTATATGTGTGTGTGTGTATGTTTATATGTCCTTTCTGTTGTTTATTTTTGATAACTCTATGATTGCTTGTGCTTCTTCCGTTCTAAGCTGTTCTTATCTTTGCTGTACTGTTCTATGATGTGCTGCTATGCATGGTGTTAGTGTCTTTTAATTTTGTTGTTCTGTAAAGCACTTTGGTCAGTCATTGGCTGCTATAAAATGTGCTATATAAATAAAAATGAACTTGAACTTGAACTTGAACAGGTCAGCTGAACTGAAGCCGTGTTTACCGACTTCTCGCTGACCTGCCCTTCTCTGACTGGCTAGTAGTCCTTAACTAGGAACTGTGCATGTGAATTTTGAACGGGAAGTGCCCGGAAATACGAAAAATTCATCAAAGAAAACCCCTGCTAATGCTGAAAGTGAGGGAGAGCTAAGTGCCTCATCTAAGATACCGAAAGCAGGTGTTAGGTCTGGCTCTATGGAACCAGGGATTGTTCGAGCCCTCGACAGAATAACCGATAACCTTAACAACCTTATCAACACCAAAATTTCTACTTTCCTGGAAGCCATTAAAAGACAGACCTCGCAGCTACAGGCAGTCGCGGCCCGAATGGGCAAATCCGAGAAACGAATTGCTGATATGGAGGCCGCAGCGATATCATCGGAGGGGAAGTTGGTACATCTCAAGAAGCAAGTACATGACAAGCAGAACACAGATGGTCTGGACAACTGAGGTCGCAGGTGCAACATACGTATAGTTGTCTTACCCGGAAATGGAAAAAAGATCAGCTCCAGGTCTCCCTAGAAATTCTAAGAGACTGCCTTGCAAGCTATCAGAGTGCTGTAAAAATCGCTAAAACTAACTTTATATGCAACATTGTCTCCAACAATAATGATAGGCCCCAAGTTCTCTTCGAAACTCTAAACTCCTTACTCCCTCCTAGCGATGCAGCTGAAATTGTGCCCACACTTACATTATGCAAAGATTTAAAAAAAAAAATTTATTGGAAAGATTTCTGTGCTTAGATCTTTACCAACCTCCTCTGCCATAGACCCTTCAGTTCCTCCTATATACTCAGCTGTCTTTAAGCAGTTTGAGCCTATATCACTCTCCTCACTATCTAATATAGTTCAGAGTCTGCGGCCTACAAATTATCCCTCAGATATCCTTTCCTCTTGTCTTCTAAAGGACATTTTTAATACTGTTGGGTCCAGCATTCTTTTTTTAATAGATGCATGTCTGAGCACAGGGTGTGTCCTAGCTGCTTTTAAACATGCTGTAGTGCAGCCTATTATCAAAAAATCTGATCTGGATCATGATGTTCTCTCTGACTTCAGGCCTATTTCCAAACTACCTTTTCTCTCAAAAGTGTTAGAGAATAGTCCTGAACTAATTACAAACATTCCTTGACAACCATGGCATCCAGGAGAAGTTCCAGTCTGGCTTTAAACCACGTCATAGTACAGAAATGGCTCTTTTAAGGGTTTTTAATGAACTCCTTTTAACGGTGGACTCAGGCAGCTCTGCTGTTCTGGTGCTTCTAGACCTGACTGCCGCCTATGACACTGTGGATCACACAATCCTTTTATCTCGCCTTGAACACTGTGTAGGTATCAAAGGTATTGCCTTAAAATAGTTTCAGTCATACCTGACTGATAGGTGCTTCTCTGTTCATTTTAGCTGAACACTCTTCGTCAGCTGCTCCTCTCACCTGCAGGGTCCCTCAAGGCTCTATTTTGGGCCCTATCCTCTTCTCACTGTATATGTTGCCACTGGGTTCCATTTCCCAGAAACATAACGTCTCCTATCACTGTTTTGCTGATGATGTCCAAATCTGCTTTCCTATGAAATCCATAACCAAAGAGTCTGTGCAACCATTGTTAGACTGCTTAAAGGAGGTTAACTCCTGGATGGAGTTAAACTTCCTCACTCTGATTGAAAATAAAACAGAGATCATCACGTGTGGACGTTTAGACGTACTGGGTGACCTTCTTGGCACTTTGGGCCCCTTAGCCTCCCAAAATCGATCCTCTATTAAAAATCTTGATGTTATTTTTGACACCTCATTCACATTCAATAAGCAAATCAGTGCAGTCGTCAAAACCAGCTTATTCCAGTTAAGACTTCTAGCTAAAATAAAGGCCTATCTTCCTCCCAAAGACCTTGAAAAAGTCATCCATGCTTTTATTACTGCTCAGCTGGATTATTGTAATTCATTATACATGGGTCTAAATCAGAAATCTTTAAATCGTCTCCAGTTAGTCCAAAACGCAGTTGCTCGCCTTTTAACAAAAACAAAAAAGCATGAACACATAACGCCCTCCACTGGCTACCTGTCCGTTATAGGATAGATTTTAAGATTTTATTGCTTGTTTTTAAGGCCTTAAATGGTCTGGCGCCACCTTATCTAGCTGATCTCTTATGCCACCATTGTCCAGTAAGAACACTGAGGTCAAAAAATCAGCTGCTCCTGGATGTCCCAAAATCAAAGCTTAAAAATAAGGGCGACAGAGCCTTTGCAGTGGGTGCCGCCATCCTATGGAACAACCTCCCCATGCATATAAAATAAATAAAATTGACATTGACAGAGTGCCTGCTGTTCACTCGCGGAGCGCTGTCTCCCTGTCTGTTCACCTGAGAGAACCTGCCGAAGCCTCTCCGCTGCTTGTTTGGGAGGGTTATTTTCAGGCTGATCAACATCCCACCTTTCCTGTGACCCATGGTTTGACTGTAGGCCTATGTGTATTCAGAGCCAGTAAGCAACGGACTTTCAAAATAATAATTTAAAAAACTGCGTTAAAGTGCAATAAAAAAATTGTCGGCGTTAATTAATGCGAGATAATAACGCGTTAACGTGCCCAGCCACAGTTACAATCAAGGGGATCTTCCAAGATACTGTTATTTCCATACTGAATATTTATTACCCCCCTGCTCACCTGTCAGATTTTATAACTAAAGTATTCTTAGATTTCTCAGAGATTCGCTCAGATATTTCCATAGTGGGTGGAGATTTTAATTGTGTACTGAATTCCCTCATTGACAGACTCCCCCACACAGCTTCACCTCTTTCTTCACAAGCTAAGTCACACAATTCTATATGTGAAGATTTAGGATTTGTTGCTGTATGAAGGACAATTCATCCCTCGGATAAAGAGAACACTTTAGGTGTCATACTTGGATTGATTACTTTTTTCTACCTGGGCTTTCCTTGCATTCAGTCTTATCTTGTGTAATAGGCAGTATTGTCATTTCAGACCATGCCAATGTAGTGCTGGATCTCTCTCTGAAGGGTATAGGAAACGGAGTAAAATACTGCAGACAGAACACAAGTATTTTAAAGGACCATACCTTCGTTTCCTATTTTAATACCGAGTTTAGATATTTTCTTTCTATTAACGCTCAGTCAACAGATGACCCTACCCTCCTATGGGAAACTATGAAGGCGTATACTAAGGTTGTTTTTATTCATTTATTATTCATTCTCAGCCAGCAAGCGGCGGCAGAAATTGAGGAAGCAAAATTTGTTAATGATTGAGCTTAAAACAAAAGAAAGACTCTATGTCGATTCTCCAACCCCTGCTTTATTGCGAGAAATATTTGCAGTCAGATCAACCTTAGATAACCTCCTTAAGAATTTTATTTCTTTTCTCAGCTTAGTCTGCCTACTATATCAACAGAGCAGCAAACCAATCTTAACTCCCCCATTTCCAGAAAGGAAGTATTGACTGCTATAAAAACCTTACAAAATGGAAAAGCCCCTGGACCTGATCAATTTTGTAGTGAATATTATAAAGAATTTTGTCATTTGTTAGCAGACCCATTAGTTGTTTAACCACTCTTTTTTGCATAATAGATTACCATGGACTCTAACAGAAGCAAATATCTCTCTCATTCTGAAAAAGGGGACGTGCGCAGAGTCTTGTTCCTCATATAGACCGATAGCTCTTCTTAATGTTGACCGGAAGATACTTTCAAAAATTCTAGCTACTAGACCTCCTGCCTAGAATTATTAAAGAAGATCAAACAGGTTTTATAAAAGGTCATAACTCCTGTACCAATGTCAGGCGCCTTCTCAGTGTAATCCAGGCTTTCCAGCAAAGAAATATTGAGGGTTTAGTGCTCTCTCTAGATGCCGAGAAAGCCTTTGATCGGGTGGAATGGGCTTATTTATTTTATACTTTAAATAAATTTGGTTTGGGGATAATTATATTAGGTGGGTCGAAATTCTGTATGACAGTCCTCAGACAATCAGGCTATTTTGACTATTTTGAGTTTTCTCATTGTATAGAGGAATGAGGCAAGGCTGCGGTGAGGCAGGATTTGGAGCGATGGAATTCTTTGCCCGCCTCATGCCTAGGATGTATTTCCTTGATTAATATTTTACCGTGATTGTTGTGTCCTGTTCAAAATTTTGGTCTGCGCTTGTTCCATATGAAGGAACTTAGCCAGCCATTCAGATCTTTCATCACCCTACTTGAAAATAGGATTAGAGAAATATTCTTTTGTTATTTGCAGGTAAGGCATTATATCTTAATTGAGAACCATTAAAGCTCTCCTGTTGAGAATTTAACAGACAGAGAGATATCTGTGAGTCTATTTTATAAAGCTATGTGTTTCACAGAGGCTTAAGGGCACATGGGAGGGTGAGCTAAACATCACAATTGATGATGAACAGTGGAGGGATTTCTGGAGACATGATAAATCAATTTCAGTCTGCAATCGTGGCAAAGCAATACAGTTAAAGATTATACACAGAGTGCACATATCCACCAACCATAGGCCACCACGCCGACATTCTGTTAACCGAAAACTCACAAGCTTCACAACATAGCATCATATCTTTGTTAAGGTTTGTGTGGGACAGTTTTGAAGTTGATATGGCCAATCTGCTTGTAGGAGTAGTCCACACAACTTGACATTTCTTGTAGCCAGTAGGTGGTGTTATGACTTTGAGTGAATATTGGCATATGGATGTGTTCAAGGCGAGACTGTTAAATGTCAAATTTGTTACAGATGTGAGCATGTACACTGAAGTTACAACTACATCCTGTTTCATGGCTAATCAACAATTTTTAACAAAAACTCACCGTTTGTACAATTTTTAATCATCGGGTTTAAGACTGCAAAGCATAAATTTGAAGTCTATAGGATTAATTCTCTAGGAGTTCATTAAAGTACAGAGCCTGTAGATTGAGGCTGGTTCTACTGTCCAGGGTTGTATATATGGACTACCCAAAATACACAAAGAAGGAGCCCCACTCAGGCCAATCATCAGCAGCATTAACTCGGTCACCTACAACATTGCCAAACACATATCCACCATCTTAGCCCCCTTGGTTGGCAACACACCCCACCACATCTAAAAATACATTGACTTTGTAAACAAAGTACGAGGACTGAAACTGGACCCAGATGAAACCATGGTGTCCTATGATGTGACCTCTTTGTTTGCCTGCACCTCCACCATGGAGGCAATGGAATCCGTAAGGAAACGGCTACTACAAGACCACACTCTGGACAGCAGAACCAGCCTGAGCCCTGACCAGATCTGTAAATTACTCAACCTCTGTCTTAACACCGCCTATTTCCAATACAACGTAGGATTCTACAGATGAAAGCATGGCTGTGCCATGGGCTCACCGGTCTCAACTATCGTGGTGAACATCTACATGGAAGAAGTGGAGGGAAAAGCCCTTAACTCCTTCAGAGGAACAGCACCGAGCAACTGGTACAGATATGTCGATGAAACTTGTAAAATGTAAACCCAAGAAGTGCAGAAGCCAGAGAGAAGGAACAGAAACACCTGAAGGGGGCACTTACAGCCTGTGGATACCCTAAATGGACCTTTGTGAAAACAGCCACAAGATCCAAGAAGAACAAAACTACAGGGGAGGAAAAGAAGGTCAAACGCAACAACATTGTGATTCCATACGTGTCTGGAGTATCAGAAAAACTCAGGAGGATTTTCAACAAACACAACATCCCTGTGTTTTTTTAAACCCAAGAACATGCTAAGACAGATGCTGGTCCACCCCAAAGACCGCACACCCAAACACAAGAAAAGCAATCTAGTGTATGCGGTCCAATGCAGTGAGGAATGTACAGACCTGTATATTGGGGAGACTAAACAACCACTACACAAACGCATGGCTCAGCGCAGAAGGGCCAACTCCTCAGGTCAAGACTCTGCAGTCTACTTACATCTGAAGGACAGAGGACACTCGTTTGAGGACCACCAGCTGCACATTTAGGCAGAGAAGATGGATGGTTTGAAAGAGGCGTCAAGGAAGCCATCTACACCAGGGTTGAGAAGCCGTCGCTGAACAGAGGAGGGGGTCTACGCCATCACTTCGCTTCCCAGGAAACTCAACAAGCATTTCCTCTTGGCCTCAGGTGAAGATGCCAACAATGGTCGTTTAGACTTGGCCATGGGTGGCTCTAACGACCATGACGACTGTCGTTAACCACAGCCAGGAGCACTATCGAACCAGCCGTATCGATGATCCTAGCTAACAATCCCAGAGGTTAAATAGCTGAGTTTCCCTACCAGTCAGTCAGAACTGAAGAAATCTCTTGGATGAGGGACGAAACGTCTTCCAGTATCTTCAAACAAGTCCAGTTGCCCTTGACTTTAACCTTCGTTGGATAACTATGACCTGGATGACTGAGAACCTTCCCAGACTTCCAATAGGGTTCTTGCTCCAGCCCTAACAAAACACAAGGAGCGGGGGAGTGGGGGGGGGGAGTGGGGCGGCTGTGGCTCAGGAGGTAGAGCGGGTTGGCCGTTAATCGGAAGGTCGGCGGTTCAATCCCTGGCTCCCCCTGGTTGCGTGTCGAAGTGTCCTTGGGCAAGATACTGAACCCCGAATTGCCCCTGGCGGCTATTCCGCCAGTGTATGAGTGAGTGTGAATGTTAGTTTCTGTTGGAGCACTTAGGCTCAGTGTATGAATGTGTGTGACTGGTGAATGCAGATGTAGTGTAAAAGCGCTTTGAGTGGTCGAAAAGACTAGAAAGGCGCTATACAAGTACGGAACATTTACAATACTCCAATTTCTAGGGGTATTTAGTGTGTATAATTTCATCTTTTTGGAAATGTCATTATAGCATCGCCTCATGACTTAATTACAAAAACAATGCATTCCCAAAACATTAATACATTATTGGTGGTAAGCTAATACAACATTGGCCAACTTATTGCAATATTGGGAAATTATTACATTCTTACATCAGGTTCTGCAAAAATAAGGTTAACCCAATAGTGTAATAACCTTAATTAATGTAACAACATTAATTGGTACAGAGATTATTACATTATTGGGAAGGTATTACATTGTCAGGTTTTAGGTTCAGATAAAAGGGCACAAGAAGGCTCCCAATAAAATTACTCTGACATATTGTTTAATGGTGTGCTACCTGCTGCATGCGTAGCGACTCCAGCTCTCTCTCCAGTCTTGTACGGAGTCGATGCTCGAGTTGTTCTCTCTTCTCACAGGCTGCCTGGAGCTGAGCCAGGGCCTGCTGCATCCTCTCCACCTTCTCCACGTAAACCTGCTTCTTCTTCAGCTGCGTACACACACACACACACACACACGGTAATATTTACATCCAGAAACTCTGCTGTGCTAATTCACATTCACACAGGACCCTGTTTGTGAAGTTATTTGATGGTTCAAGGTGGCAAATTTGCTACACACCAAGAAGTTATGAGGATCCAGGACAGAGAAACCTCAGAAGCTTCCTTCAGCAGTGGATCAGCAGGAACTGCTGTCACACAACCAGAACGATTACTGCCTACTTTGATCGGTTTTCTTTGTTGACCAAATCTGTTTCAGCAAATACTCAAAGAAGTTCAAGGAGCACCAAGACGACAGACATCATCAGACTGCTGTGGTTAATCCTTTAGAGGTCAGTGGACAGGAGATATAAACTGACTTCAAAAACTGCAGAATTTAGTCATATTTTTGTTTCCATTTGTCTCCCTTCAGCGGAAACATCTAATGTTCGTCACACATTCACAAACATGTTCCTGGCGAGAAAAACACCTTGATAAACATGTTGCGGTATTTTTAAGATCACTCAAGGTAACCAGTTGTTTTAGATCAGCCCAAACAAAGTGTTACCTGGATCAATATGTGACTGGAAGACAGTCATCTGTGATTGCTCAATCAGCTCGCAGGTAACATAAAGAGCAGGGAGTCGATGGTACTTATTGCTCAGGTGAGTTCCAATCAAGCTTGACGCGATTTTGTAAAAAGTCTATTTTCTTTCATTTCTTTTTTCGTGTGTGGCTTTATAATGTAGTGTTCAGTTATACAATCATGATCGCCGCAGTAGATTTAAGATGTGACTTGAAACTCGCCAGGAATATGTTAGTGAATGTGTGACAAATCTGGGGATGGAGGCAGTCCGCAGCTGCTGCACACAACACGCGCACGAGTATGGCAACCCTGTTTACATGCACCTATCTGTTCTGCTTTTGCTCTTTCCTTCCACAACCATTTTCATTTTCTCCTATTTCAATTTACTAGGTCTAAGCAAGATTCATGGGGTTTATTACAGGTCACTACTGAGTTCTAATCATCTCACTACAGAAATATTGGCGTCAGGGGGTTAAGGCGATGACCATGAACCACAATTACTCTTCCCACATTTCCCGTCATCTCCCTAAGGTCACAAACCTCCAACAAAGGCATGAAAATGCACAAAAAAAGAAAACCTGCATACTTTCTGTTGAATCAGAATTCCAACCTTGTTTCCTGCAACATTTCAAATATTTCATGTTTTGTCATTTCCAAAGCAGCATCTTTGGATACTGCAATGCTTTCTGCTCCTGTCTAAGCCAGTAGATCCTATCTAAGCTTCAGTCAGAAAGCAGCAGCAAGAGGTTTTTAACACTGATGTCAAAATCATTCCCACTTGGGATTCTTGGGGACATGAATGTGATCCCTCCCTCTTTCTCTCTCTGACACTATTTGATGTACTTTCTCTAAATGTAGATTTTCTATCAAGCAGTAAACCCAAATTACTTCCAGTAAGAAAGTTAGCTGACGCTCTTACCTCCTCTTCCAGCTTGACCACTTTGGCCTGGGCGTTGTTGAGCGCCTGGTCTCTGATCTCAATGTGTCTTCTCTGGTCTTCTGTGGTAGAGCGCAACGCGTTCAACTCCATCTCCAGCTTCTCCTTTTCACGCAGCGTCTCTTTGTCTGAAGACACATACCCACATGAAAGCATGTACAAACACAATCTTTTCAGTCTAGTTGTTAAACAGGTTTTTGTTGTGCCCACCATAGATCTGAATCTATGCATGGACTCAAATGTCACATCGAAATTGATTTGAAAAAATGTCCAGATGCTTAGAATGTGCCTGAAGAATGGCGGGGATGGCTCTGAGTGTGTGTGTGTGTGGTACTCACTCTGTGCAAGCAGTTGGGAGATGGTTTTGCGGTTGTCCTCTGAGCCATCACACTCTTTAGCAGCAAGCTGCTTATTGGCCGTCTCCATGCGCTCTTTAAAACAACAACACTCATGCTCAGAGTTGGCACACACACACACACACACACAAATAAAGATTTTATACACACATTAGATATTAAAGGGGTCTACGGAACTGAGTTTGAAAATAAAACTGTGGAGGTGACATAAAAAATGTTTCTGATCATTTTAAACATATCCATGTGCTCAGTAAAGTCACAGCAAATATCTTGGGGCATTTAAGCAGAAAAACTAAAAAACTGTAGTTTTAAATGTGACATGACAGGACAAAGGAAATGCTCCAGAGGAAACAGAATTCAACTTTTAGCTTCCGAAATCATTTAGACTCTCTGATGGAGCTCAGCATGGATGAACCTGGACTGTGTATGAGAGGTTTATGGGTGTCAAAGAACACAGAACATGAATTAATATTGCATCCTAACCGATCCTGCCGGCATGTCGGGAGATTTTAATATTAAGTTATCTTGCTGTGCCACGTGCGTAAATGTGCACAGCGTCTCTCTTACCATCGGAGTAATGCGCCCTAAAATAACAAACAACAGTGAAATACTGCGCCATTGACTTTCGACCCGGTATGTTTTGGTCAACGGCACAATTGCTTTCAGCAATGACCCACCCCAAATCTCATGAACATTAAAACAACTTTGTCTCAACCATGGGCCCACCCGAGCCCAATCACTGCAGAATTCTGTGATTTTCACTAGTCCAGACATGTGTGCAAGTTTTCAGGAATCCTAAGCCACTCAAAACACCTTCTACAGGCAGAAAAACAATAATCTTACTGGGAACTTACAGGCTTTCAGTGCCAGGAGCTAGCAGGCCTAAATATTTTATAATCTATAATACCACTAGTATGTAGCTACACCTACTCAAGTGCTGTCAACAGAGCACAAGATCAATTCTTTTTCATCCAAAACAACAACTCCAGTGATGATACATGTTGACCTTTGACCCAGAAAACTGAGTATGTATGAGTATGAGGGAGAAAAAGGAAGGGAAGCAGGAAAGAGAAAAACTGCTCTGTGGTGATGTGTTGCGAAAGGCTCCCAGTGGACTTGAGTCTGGGCTCTGAACCATGAACCATTTCTTCTCTCCTTTGCATGCGTGTATATGTGTGTGTTGGTGACAATTGAAGAGGAAAATGCTCCAGAATTATTTTTTCAACTCGTCACAGAACAGTTTATTTGATTGCCCTGATTCATTCGGTGCTACATATTCACACTCGCCTACATTTAAAACTGATTGTTTTTACCTGCCCCGCGACCCTGTACGCAGGATAAGCAGTTGACGATAGATGGATGTTTTTACCTGTGTGTTGCTATCACAGGGGTTTGTTTGCTGTGTATTTGCAGCGACTAGAAGTCATTCTGTCAATCAGTCTCACAAAATGTAGCAGAAGCAGCACATTTGCTACTGCAGGACACAACTATAAAGACACTTATACGGAAAGGAAAGAATGTTAAGGGGGTTGTGAGTGTTTGCATGTTTCATAAGGAAATGAGTGAGAGTGAAATACAACTTTATTGTTTGATTAACGCCAACCTTCATATGCGCATGCACAAAATTAAACTTGCGCTTTCCAGCAGCGACCTATGTGAGACTAGTCCAGACCAAGTATGAGTGACGGCACACAGAAATGTAAAACCACATAATATTCAACTATCTATCTCTCCGTCAAGGTTGAGTTACAACTTTGCACTAATGCATGATGGAGAGCAATGGGTAAATACTGACTATTGGTTACATTTGAATTGAACTGAATTCATTCATTTATAATGAATTAATTGACTGTACTAATTACTAGGCAGCAGAGCCAAAGCTCAGTGTTAAGTTTTATTATTTTCTACAATTTCTTATTTAAGTTAATGTTAATATTCACTTATCTTAAAATTCTATGGAAAATATTATATTCAATAATAATAATAACAACAACAACATTCAATAATTTTCATACCTCATATTGTTCTGTACAGCAGATTTTTGCTTGGGGTGGCATGTCAATTTAAGTGGCGCTACTACATTTTAAGCCGCTGCTCCTAAAATTAGCAGTAGTGAGCACCAGTGCTACAGGTGGAAAACGTTAGTCTTGAGCCCTGACTTTGGCCGTTGGCTAGGGAAGAGCATCCACAGATGCATTATTTTTCAAATCTATTAATCTAACAATTATTTTTCGATTAGTCGGTTAATCTAACAACTAATTTAATTATGATTATTCTAAAGATAATTTTCATTACTCAAATAATATTATATAACAATTATTTTATCCAAAATAAATATCTAAAACTTGTCTCTTTAATAATTTAAGATTTTATTAAACCATCCTGAAAAAGTGACACCTGAAACGCATCAGAATAATGATAAGAGTAGCATTTCTTAAAATGAGTCTAATTTCCATGTCACTGCTGTGTTATAATATTAATAATAATAACAGACCCTTTGTGTCAGATGCCTGAAATACTGGACCTCAAATTACAAAGGATCGCTGTGACACAGATTCATTTATACTCTCCATGTCAACTCTTTCCTGAGAAGTACTTGACTTAAAACTTTCAATGTTTCTGACATGGATTAATTCTGTCACTGGAGAAACTCGCAGTAAGATAATCACAGAATAATTACTAGTGCACTAGTGTGGGGCAAAGAAAATAACAATTTACAGACGGGAGGAGCAGTCTGTAATGTAAGTTTAAGCCATTTTCTCACTCAAACAGTAAATATAAAACAGCTGAATATCAGATGGACGCATGGTGTAACGTTACGTTACCATAACAGCAGCAGTGCAGAAATTACTTTTAACATAAGGATAAAATCAATTTTAAGTGACACGCTCCTCGTGTTGATAATCTTGTTAGGCTTGTATGGGGACGGCAGCTCGTGGCTTGACAAAGCTCTCCGAGATGCTTTAGCTTCACATGTTCGTGTTGCTTGTGTTCGTGCGCAGCGGTTTTGTTGCTGTGAAGTAATTTCAAATCCACAGAGCATACAGAGCAGCATGTTGTTGGTCAATATCTAAATACTCCCAAACTTTAGATGGTCATAGGCCAGGTCTTTTAGCTGCACTAAAATGGCCCCCCACAGCATAACAGAGCCACTGGATAATCTCACTGTAGTGATACAGCATTCTGGCCTGTACCGTCCTCATGGATGACTCATCTGACTCTCAGATGTGCGTTGGTCTTTATAATGACAAGTTGCAGTGCAACCCTACTTTAATATCTCTCTTGTAGATAATATATAGTAATGCTGTCACAGTCTGATCACGCCCTGCATTGCATTGATATTCTCAGGCACTCAGAAAGAGTTGCTCTTCTGTTTTTCCTTACATATCGCAGTAATGCACAAGCGTCACCCTCATCAAATGTGCGCTGTCAACCACAAATTCCAACTCTATTTACTAACGTTTTACCCAAATGCAGATGTCACATTAGTCACTGAGCTGGCTATGCCACAGAGCATGACTGGATGTTAATTGCTTGTACACCATGCAGTGCAACCGTGTGGAAGCATCTGCATTAATAATGTTATGATTCTCTACTCATTAATTCAGGTTGTTTCTTTTTATTTCAAAACAGTAATATTATTACAGTTACTAATCTAAGTAATACTGCGATACTGAACGCACCATCCTTGACGTCGACTGCGCGACAGGTCAGCAGCACCGGACTTTATGTTGTTTAAGTCAGCTGTTAGCCAAAAGGCTAAGGGAAGAAGGGAGAACGATGGAGAGAGGCATTCTTTTCACAGCTGTAAGAAGCTACTGCCATTATTGTGTCACAGTCTAAGAGGCAAAGAACATTGTCGTCCATCGTAAACTTTGTGAGACCAAAAAGCTTTCAACCGTGAACTATTTTACATCCAATTTATTGAAGCATCTGCTGAAGCAGCACACCAACATGAAACTTACAGAAAGAAACTCCGGCAGCTACTGCCACTGATGCTTGGACTCGTTGGGAGAGAGTGGCGTTAACGTAATGTTTTGTAAAAATACTGAATACTGCTCTTATAAATACATATGCAGAAAAAAAGTAGTTCAAAAGTCAGGATTTACTTGCTTTATTTTTTATTTCAGCCAGTGGCGTTAAGAAACGTTATATGTTTTGTAAAAACCACACTCCTTCCTGCTATTATGAATATGAAATTAGTTGAAAAGTCGGGAGAGACTGCTTTGAGGGGGGGACCCCTTTGAGAGTTCAAAGACAATAGTTTCGAGGAACCCCTTAGAGTGGAAACTTGCACCATGAGTTGAGCACCATGGTTGATTTTAAATGATTGTGTAACCAGAAAACATGTTACCCTATTTGTTTAATTTTTAATGGTTTAATAATTAATAGGGCATGAAAATCAGTACATTAAAACTGCCACTAGAAGGCAGCAGAGGATAAGAAATTCACTATCAGAACGAGCCAGAAGGGGTGCGGTAACGTAGAAATCCCACCTAAATGGGAGCAGATTATAAAAGGAGATGTTCCTTAACTGCGCACTCAGTTAATTCTGATGCCTGCTAGGATGTAACACTGGTTTTTGTCTTTTAATGGAATAACAACTAGATTTTTGACTGTCTCCAGAGAAGTTTTTCGACTATAACTTATTGACTATTTTGGAGAGTTTCTTAAAGTTTTGGGTTTTTAACTGGCCTAGCCCCAAACTTTAGGTCCCTGCACGATGAACAGGCTGTGGCTGGGTGGATACTGACTTTTAGTATCCTGTATTCTCCACCCATCTGTATGTTTGTCATCTCTCTTCCCCAATACATTATGGAGAAATTGTTTTGATATGTAACAGACAAACCATACAGGCCTCTGGATCCACAAGTGCAGTAATATGTTGAATTTGCAGTGACTTGCAGTAGCAGTGTGGTTCCAACACTGTTGTTGCACCTCTCTGCTCTCTCACCTCGGAGGTCCCTGTTGAAGTCATGCAGCCGGCGCACCTCCAGCTCCAGCTTGTTTCTCATGGTTTTCTCCAGGGCCTCCCTCTTGGAGGAGGACTTGGCGAGGTTTTCATAGGCCTCTGACACCAGCTGGATCTCTGTTTCCAACTGCCCACAGATACAGGAGAAACAGAGTGAAGGAGATGCACCAAACCTTTTTTTCAAACTGCTGTATAATTAATTTACTCACTGAATATCCATATTCACATCCAATTATTGACATGGGTCACACGTGGCCTTACAGAAAACCATATTCCAAACAACACATATTTTGACTGTTGGGTCTGACATCTACTACCAGGTGCAGCATGGTACCTAGCTTCACCAAATGTGAGGGGTCACTATTTACATGGAACTGGGATCACTCAAGTTGGTGTGTTCCGGGCTTATCAAAGCTTTAACAGAATTCAACCAAAGCACATAAGAAAGAAGAAACTAAAATCTTGTTTGTCCAAACTGTCTGAATGAATTACTTTAAATGAGCGACATCCAAAATGTGTTTTAAATTTTATGGAATGGGTCAGAGTTTGTATAAACATGTTCCAGTGTACAGTAGCTAAACATTACATTCGTTCAAAGAAACTTCAAATCACATACAATGCACTAATTATTGTACTATTTACATTTTAGTCAACTGTCTACAATCTATTTAGTTTAAAATCCTATCTGTGGAAGACTCAATTTTGTTCTAACTCAGACTGCTAAAGTTTCATATTATCTTCAGTTGAACTTTAGAATGCAAAACAAGAAATGTGGATTTTGTCCTCCATTACTTATACTGAAACTGCTTTCAGAAGAAATCTCTTTGTGGCCAGTATGGACAGGAGGAACAATTACAGCAATCAATAACCCTTGCTGTGTACATATGGGCATGTCACTTTTGTTTTTAGATTTAGCCTATCCTATAAAGCTCTTCTGCAGAAGATGTTACCTTGTGCAACTTGGTGACCTTCTCGCGGCAGGCCTCCATCTCCTGTCTCAGCATCCTGTTCTCCTCTGCCAGCACATCTGCCATCTGGTGTGCGCGCGCCATCATAGCAAAGGGCTCCCCCTGCATGTGGGAGTAGGAGTGCGGGTGGGGGAAATGTCCGACCTGGACTGGCGGCTGGAGGTGGGGATGTGGAGGTCCTTGGTACTGCTGCTGCTGCTGCTGCTGATACTGATGGTGGTGGTGCTGCTGCTGCTGCTGCTGCTGCTGCTGCTGCTGCTGCTGATGGTGCATTCGTGGGGTGGAGCCGTAGGGGTCATGAGGGAAACCGTGACCTCTTGGTGGTGTCGGGTGAATGGGCCCCAGAGTAAAGGGCTCGCTTGCTTGGTGGGAGCCGGGACCCTGTGTATTGCGGGGCCCCATGCTGGGAAAGGGTTCTCCCTGGTTATGTGGTTGCTGGTGAGGGAAGGAGGGATGTGAGGAGTGGGAGGCACTGAGCATGCTGCTGAGAGTGGAGGACTGGGTGCGGGACAAGGAGCCCACAGAGGTGACGGAGGAGGTGGGACTGTGCTGGTGAAGGGGCCTCTGGGAATGAACCGATCCCTCTTTACTAGACCTGAGGAGAGATTGTTAGAAACCTCAGCGGGTGTCTGTACTGATGCCCAAAATCCTGTACCATCTTCATAATAATTATAATAATGATCCTTATGCATACAGCATCTTTCAGCAGAGAAAGATGACTGTAGATGGATTTTAAAACACAAAATAATCTTATTATTATATAATCAAATCTTATTATATAATAATTATAATTCTATTTAAAATTGAGCATGTGTATATAATAAAATAAATTGCAGAAAGTAGACAGGAAAATGAGCAAATTAAATAGATCATCAAAGAGGATTTTCTTGGGCACGTTTGTGAGTTACATACAATATTAATTTGCAGAATATTTCAATTAATTGAATCATTTTGTATATAAAATGTCTGTCAGTACCCCCTTAGTTGGGTACACCTGCACAATCTAGTGCAATCCAATCAGTCTACTCTTATGATGCCTATGATGTCATAACAGCAGTACTGATATTTATTGTAATGAATAGAAGTGTACTAGAATGTTCTGTCACTTTAAGAGTTAGAGGGCACGTCCTGATGACGTAGGGAACTGCGAGGCCTGTGTTGTTGTTAAGCATGTTGAATCAGTAAAAAGATACACAGAAGACAAACTCGGCTCATTATTCATACTTTATGTCAAGTTAGATTAGGCATCAACAGACATTACATGGTGTCAGAAGTAAGCCTGTGTATCAGAGTGACGTCGTCATGGCGAAGTTTAATCCATCGAGTGAATTCAAGTTCGACCGCCCCGCGGACTGGCCGGAGTGGAAACAGAGATTTGCACGCTACAGGTTGGCCACTAAACTTAACAAAGATAGCGGGGACATCAAGTGAGTTCGCTGATTTATTCGAAGGGGAGCGAGGCCGAAAAGATATTCAGCTCGTTCGACTTTGCTAGTGAGGACGAGGAGGAAAACTACGAAGCGGTTCTCAAGAAGTTTGATGAATATTTCATCCCTCGTCGCAACGTCATACACGAGCGGGCATGTTTTTACCAACGCAGCCAGCAGCCCGGGGAAACCGCAGAGCTGTACATAAGGACGTTGTACGAGTTGTCTGAACACTGTGAGTTTGGGGACAAAAGGGATGAGCACATCAGAGATCGCCTAGTTGTGGGTATACAAGATAAAGAGCTATCCCGGAGGTTCCAGCTCAAAGCTAACCTCACGTTAGCCCAAGTTATTGAACAAGTGCGCCAGGCAGAGGAGTTAACTAAACAGGTTAGTCTGCAGACCAACCACCCGGAGGCTCAACTGGCAAACGTCTTTCGCCGTCTCCCATTCGGGATCACAAGCTCTCCGGAAATTTTCCAACAGAAGATGGCTGAAACCTTGGCAGGGCTCGAGGGGGTTGAGATCTACATGGATGACATCCTCATCCACGGAGAGACTGAGGAGATCCATGACCAGCGCTTGGCAAAGGCACTGAAAGTCATAGAGGCAGCAGGTCTTAAGTTGAACAAGCACAAATGTAAATTCAAACAGACACAAGTTCGCTTCCTTGGACATGTCATCGATGAGACAGGCGTCAGACCCGACCCAGACAAAGTGATGGGGATAGAAACTTTCCCCAGCCGCACAACGTTGTGGAACTCAGGAGGTTCTTAGGAATGGTGAATTATCTGGCTAGATATGTCCCTGAGCTGTCCACCGTGGGTCAGCCGCTCTACGAACTGTTAAGAGGAAAAGTAGAGTGGTTGTGGGGGCCTGCACAGCACACAGCTTTCCAAAAGCTCAAAAACCTACTTGCCACCGCCCCGGTTCTAACCTTCTACGACGCTAACAAGCCTACTGTAGTGTCTGCAGACGCCAGCAGCTAGTGATGCAGAGACCAGGTACGCACAAATAGAAAAAGAGTGTCTAGTCAGTGTATGGGCATGTGAAAGATTCGATAAATATCTGTTCATACTTGACAACTTCAGACTAATTACTGATCATAAACCGCTAGTGCCCCTCATGAACAGTAGGGACTTGGACAATGTTCCCATCAGGTGCCGGAGGTTATTGATGAGACTCATGCGTTTCAATGCCATAGCAGAATATGCACCAGGCAAAACGCTGGCAGTGGCTGATGCTCTCTCCAATGGCCCAGAGCAGTACTGTGGGGATGGGGCTACTCAAGAAGACGTGGCAGCACATGTTGACGCCGTCATATGTCAGGTGCCAGACACTCCCCAGCAGATGGACGAAATAAAACAAAGCACAGCTGATGATCCACAGGTTCAGACAGTTTTGAGCTTCATTAGATGGCCTGAGTACATGGGTAAAGTACCTGAGCCAATCAGAGACTTCTACCAGGTGAGAGGAGAGCTATCTGAGCTAGACGGCTTAGTAGTCGGGCACCAGGGTCTAGTCAAGTGCAGAGAAAGAGCTAATCAAGCTGTTTGGTGGCCCAAATTGTCACGTGATATCACTGTCAAAGTGCAGCACTGTACATATTGCAAAGAAAAGAGAAACACGCAGAGGAAAGAGCCATTGATATCAAGTGAGCTCCCGGCAAGACCATGGCAGAAAGTTGCAATAGACCTTTGTGAGTTTAAAAAGCAAAATTATCTGGTAGTGTCTGACTACTACTCACGATTCTTAGAGATTCTACATCTTCCAACAACCACTAGCAGTCAGGTAGTTGGTAGGCTGAAAGCTACTTTTGCACATTATGGCATCCCAGAAGTGTTAGTGAGTGACAACGGACCCCAGCTGGCTTCAGCAGAGATGAGGAAGTTTAGTAGGGATTTTGACTTTCTCCACGTTACGTCAAGCCCACATTATCCTCAGAGCAACGGGCATGCAGAGAGGGCTGTCCAGATCGCCAAAGGAATTCTTCGAAAGGAAGACCCCCTCCTTGCCCTCATGACATACAGAGCCACACCCTTCTCTTCTACAGGCTCCAGTCCAGCTGAGCTGTTGATGGGCAGGAGACTCAGGACTACCTTGCCCACGCTGCATGACAATTTGAAACCCAGCTGGCCTGACATGGACGTATACCGGCAGGCTGACACTGCAGCCAAGCAGAAGCAGGCGTACTTCTACAACCGCCGAAATGGAGTGACGAGTCTACCACCGCTGAGCCCAGGGGACACGGTGCTCACGAAGCTGAGTGGACACAAACAATGGACTACACCAGCTGTTGTTCACAGCTCGAGCTCCACTCCCAGATCTTACATAGTGGAGACACCACAAGGTGAGCGTTACCGAAGGAACAGGCGTCACCTGCTGGCCACACCTGACGAGGTCACATCCATCGGTAAATGTTCTGAACAGGAACAGGAACACCGGTTGCCGACACGCCAGAGACTCTTGCACAGGGGTTTAAAGTCACTCGCTCTGGTAGAGTGAATAAACCAGCTTCCAGGATGGACTTGTAGACAGACGAACTATGGACTGTGAGGCATTTTCTGTGCTGTTGGGGGAAGTGGGACAAGTGCATTGTTTTCAATAGCCTGAAGTGTATTCAATTAAGTCGTAACATGTTTGACTTAAGCGCAGTTAAAACAGATGTCATATACCCATCAGGCTTAGGTTTAAAAGTTTCTTGTTTTATCTGAATTGAGAGCCAGTAATAGAAGGAAACATTCATTCTGTTTTGTAAAAGCTGGAATATGCTACAGAGCTAAGAGTTATGGAAGTTACTGAACCCTAAAGTTAAAGCTGGCTACAGCCACAGTTCTTGGCTGCTATTGGGATATTATATTTGAGGGGGAGATGTAATGAATAGAAGTGTACTAGAATGTTCTGTCACTTTAAGAGTTAGAGGGCATGTCCTGATGACGTAGGGAACTGCGAGGCCTGTGTTGTTGTTAAGCATGTTGAATCAGTAAAAAGATACACAGAAGACGAACTCCTGGAGTCAGCTCATTATTCATACTTTATGTCAAGTTAGATTAGGCATCAACAGACATTACATTTATTACAGCTTATAAATGACAAAAAAGAAACAGAGAGGAAGACGGATTCTTCAGTCACGTTATGAGTGTGGTGGTTGAATAGTTTGTCCACCATAGATGAATCTGCAACTCCCCTGTTGGCAACACGTGTTTGGTACCCATCTCCCGAGCATCAGTGATATCAGTGAGGTGAGGTGCCTACGCAGAGCCCAAAGGATACTAAAGGACAGCACCCACCCACCCACAGCCTGTTCACCCTGCTGCATTCTGAGAAGAGATTTAGAAGCTTCTGCTGCCACACCACCAGACTGTAGAGCAGCTTCTTTCCCAGTTTTTTTTTTTTTTTGAGTATTATGACTACAGCATGCATTTCATTGTTGTATAATGATAAATAAATTACCCTTGAACCTTGAATGTTGTCATCGGATCTAAAATAACAGTGAGGTGTTCTAAACAACAAGGTTTCCTGTGTCTCTCAGGAAAGACCGTCCAACAGTGAGTGAAGATTTAATTGCTACCTTTAACATTAATGTCCTCTAGCCAAGTCCGATTCACCTGCTGTTTGCTTGCTCACTGAGTGGGTCTGTCAACTGGCTTTGTGTGGAGCAAACATTCCTGCCTTCAGCCCTCAAAGGAATGTCATCAAAGCCAAGCTGATCTTGTCCCGACTTGTCCTGCCCTGATTATTAAAATTATGTGGCTGTTTGTATCAGGTTGCCCCGAGGTTAAGACACTGGCATCAAACAGGCCCAACAGGATCTCTCTTAACCACCTCAAAAAACACTCTTGGAAAACCATGAAAAGTTCTCACGTCTCATCTTTTTGTTTGTTTGTTTTTATTATTTTCAACTTGTTAATCAAGAAAACACAAAGCAAGTCTTTTTCTTATAATTTTGTCCTTGTTGGCATGGAAACACACCCTGAAGCAGCATTTACGTCTTCATTGAACAGTGAAACTCTTCATAAACCTGTGTGTTCAGATTCAGTCTGTGACACAGTGTTTAGGAAAGGCCAGGGGAAGAACAGCTAGCGTCAATAAGCTATCTGGTGCCAGGCAACCCACTTTAACTAATTAACAACTGGGTGTCTTTGTGGATAATCTCAAATTCAGCATA